CTTCCTATCATCTTTCCTAACTGTCCAGGTCTCACATCCATACATGGTCATAGGGAATACAATAGCTTGTATAATTCTCACTTTTGTGTTTAGTTGTATGTCTTTGCATTTTAGGATCTTTTCTAGTTCTTTCATAGCCCCCTCCCCATTCTTAGTCTTCTTCTGATTTCCTGACTGCAGTCCCCATTTCTATCAATGTTTGATCCCAGGTATGGGAATTATTTTACTATTTCTATTTCTCCGTTGTCTAGGTTGAACTTGTGAAGGTCCTCGGTGATCATTATTTTTGTTTTGAGGTTTGGTAGAATTATGGATTTCTTCAAGTAGATAATGAAGTCATGGTGTCGTTTTTATAGATCATAGCCCTACCCTGCATTTTCCTAATTTTTATAAGCAATATAAAAACTTTCTGTCAGCTTATATATTCTCTGAAGATGTCAGCCCCAGATGCAGGCGAAACATCAGGAAGACATTCTTCTAGAACATGGCCTCACAGCCCAAAAAACCCACAAAAACCTGTAACATGGCTTCAGAATTAAGCACTATTGCATGGCAGAGAAGCCCAAGGGGCCCTTGAACAAATTCCTTTCTGCACAATATTTGACAAATGCTACTCTTCTGCTTCTATACTTCGCAACAGGATTTTTCAAAACATCATTTCAAGTTTTACAAACAATGACTGAATTAAGGCTTTAGATCTCAAGCTTGAAAGAATGATTAGCCCTAAGCACATTTCATTTTTTTTAAAAAAAGAAAGTGTTTATTTAAAAAGCCAGTATCAACATATTTATAAATATGTTCAGCAATAGTCAGCATATTTTTGCAGCACAAAAATACAGCCACAAAGCCTTCCAAATAATCATTTACCAGGTATACCATTACCTACCACTGAAAGCCCAAAACCAAAGGGAGGAAATACATTTATTTCTTGGATTTATGATGAGCAATATTTATTTATTTATTTTTTACATTCACAAAAACAGGAGATTGGGTTATAATAGTGATGCTAATGACCCAAATATATTACTGTCCCACTTTAATGCCTCCTTTTTCACCTGAAAGCTTTATATGAATGAAGCCAATTCCATATTCATGCATGAATGCTTGTACAAGAATCCTTTATTTCTGGGCCTTAGACACTTTGCAATGGAATTCTCTATGTACAAGTTACAGTAGCCTCTCCCAATTTGCGGGGGATCCGTTCTGGATCCCCCTCCGCGCGCGAAAATGGCAACTCACAAATATTCGAGCTCCATTTAAAATAATGGCGTGCACCCCCATGGCGCGTGTGCGGGGTCGCACGCG